ATTAGAAAATGTATAACGTTTGACATTTTTTTGGTAGAAGATTTATTTATTTTGCGTGTTCATATAATTTGATGATATATATATATATAAATGAAGTTGTAAAATGTGGAATACTACCGACGCATAAACCAGATTCAACGATTCAGGAATTAAATAATGTTTTATGAACTAAATTGCCAACAAATAATTCATTTTCATTTATGCACAAAACAGTGCACTAGGCACCTGCTTAAAATCAAAGCAATACAATTTCGTTCCGTTGAATGTCCTAATGGTTTTTGTCCAAAACTCTGTTTACGAAAAACGGAAAAGTTAGCTACCTGAGAGTAAAAAACAACTTTCCTTTTCCAGCCTAAGAATTTTTTTTTATTAGTAAGGAGCTCTAGATCAAACTCTTTCACGTGCCCAGCATAAGGCACTTGCTCCCTTGCCAATCAAAACCCAACGGGGTACAATTCTAAACAATTTACTATTTGTTAGCTAAGATTGATCCGAAGTTCCACACTCAAAAATCACACCGTTCTTAAACAAGACGTGTATACAGTAGCATCTTTCTCTCTGAGGGAAACCTTTACTGACTAAGTGTATTATGTTCGTACAAAATGTTGTTGTTTTTTGCAATAACTTTTAATGTAGCATGATTATTTAGCTTTCGAGTAGAAGTAATGCATGTTAACAAGGCCGCTAAACAACAGTACAAAGCATTGGATTTTTTTAATTGATGTAAAGACCGTAACATTTAAAAATTAAGAACAGAGCCATTTAGTCAATTAGCCAATTTATCTAGTCTTTTCTTAATTACGAGTAAAGCTAATTACTGTAATTACTACAGAAACACGAGTTCCTAACTCATAGAATTCCATGGATACAGCTTTAAGCTAAATAGCAGTTTTATATTTTGATGTTTCTTTACACTTTTGTGCTACGTATTTATATATAAAAAAAAACGTATAAAAGTAATTCTGATTAATAATGAGTAACGACGATTTATTATTACCTTACTAGACCCCAAGTGGGCAGAGCACAGGTAGCCCATTGGGTAGCTTTGTACTTTACAGCAAACATACAATTTCCCTTCTAAATTGATCGTCAACGTTTACATTATAGCATTATGCGGGCATATCATAGGTTTACACGATCTTTAGTACTTTAAAAGTTTTTTAGTATTTCGTTTAGTTAGTTTCTATGCAGTTTTGGCATAAGCACATGGCCCAAAAGACCGTTGAAATTGTTTCGTTCTAGTTGCTTTTTTTCTCTATGGCAGATAATATATACTCTGCCTACATCGCATATTTGTGTCGAAAATGTTAACTACTATGATGTCCTTTGCCGGCCGAGTGGATTTTGTCTGTATGTTGCACCCGAAAAATACTATGCGAGAATGACCAGTCACAGGTGACGCTAAAAAATAAAAAAAAAGGACACGAGGTTTCTTGTAAGATTGTAACCTCTATACTTTTAGAATTCTACTTGCTTATCAACGTGAATATCTCAATAGACTTTCATCTCGAGGGAAGAAAGCTGTTGATGAATTCACGTGTACATTAGAGGAACTTGTCCACTCTTCTACCCAAGTACGCGCACTGTTTTTTTATGTGTCTATAATAAAGATTGTTTTTCACTTTTCTTCAAACATGCCCAATCTTGCAATTTCTCACGCAGTTTAAAACTGAGTTTTTAAAGTCAGATCACTCTGAAAATTTCCTGTTTAATCCTGCTGTTATTAATCGGACCTATCTAATATTTTTGAGGAAACCAGTTCACCTGAGAATATCACAAGTTACCAGTTGTTTATATTCAGGTGTTTCTAAACCCGTCATGAAAATGATAAAAAACATAAATTCTTTAAACCAACTGTTAAGGAACACAATGGTGTAGACAATCCTTGACAGACATCACAAGGGCATGCTATCATTGAAGACAACAGTATAATCTGGTATCTTTGTATGTGTACATGCAGAACATGTCCGAGTCTTTAACCAAAGAAATGTATAAAGTTCTGGTATTTGGTGTTTCAGTATTTTATAAATATCTAATCAGGTTACCCGTTCTAGGCACGGGAAGCATTTAATCTTATAAGTTATAAACCAAAATATATTCTTAATTACATATTAACTCGTTATTCCGTTAGCTCGTTGATTGCTTGTATCCCATTTTCACACTTTACGCAACCCCTAACGTAACAGACTAGTTTTTTAAACTTCAGTTCCTTTATAGGCCAATAATTTATTCTTGTTCAATCAGTTATTGGATATGTCGAGCCAGGCCTGTTTTTGTCTACGTCACTGATGTAACGAGTGACAAACATATCTGTTTAACCAATAATTAAACCAGGGGCAAATTAACACAAAATATATACACACACACACAAATCACCAAAGCCCTTTTCAAAATGCTATTTTTGGTTTCTTTGTTCTATATCCTCAAAACAATGGAACTCGAGGAGGGAAATGTAAAGGAGAGCTCCGAGGTTGACACATCATCAACTAATAACATTAAATGATTCTAAAATAACGATATTGCATCAACCATAGTGTAGCACAATTCCCCAATAAATACTGATATTGTTGAAACACATTTGCTATTTTTGGGCGAGTTCTTTTGGATTATTTGGTAAAAACAATGCAAATTTCAGTCCACATAAAAATAACGAACTAGTTTATTTCTCTTATACCGTGTCTATAGATATATTCACTTTGACTTTGATACAAATTGATGCCCAAGTTCACAAACAACGTTGCAACAGGAATTCCTAGAAATAGTAAAATAATGGTACCTACAAGTAACTTACGTACAGAATTTCCTGCTAAGCGATCGATGAATTGTATATACGCGATAACTCTCAATTCAATTTTAATATTGAATAACTTTTCGGATACAGTGATAGTGATGCGGAACTGAATCACTCATTCATTACTCAATTGATTCACTGCTTCATTTTACTCGTATTTATATCGTACACGCCTTCTACTTGTTACACTAATTTTCCTGATCGTGACATTATGCGCTTTCAAACAAACGATAAATTAAAATATTGAAAATAAAGCTTACAACAATGTTTTCCTTTATAAAATGGCGGATTCTGGAGGCTGCCATTTTACCTTCATCCCCTCTGTTGTGATGTACAAGGGTACAGAAAGATACGCGCTTGTGATTGGCTTAATGTGACACACCTTTGTGCGTATGCGATTTACTTTGTGTTCGAAAATCCTGAGACTAGAGATAGTCCAAGTCTGCGGGAAAATATGAAAAATTTGGAAAATTTTAAAATATATATATGCGGAGAAATTCAGGAATTCTGCGAATAATTTTTCTGATAAAAATTTGTCGTAATAATGGTTTATTATAAAAATGTAAATCAAGTAGATATAACTGTATTTAATTTTAAGGTACTTGCTGTATGACTACAGTGTGTCTGGAACCACAGGCAATTCAACGAATTTTACAGAATGTGTTTCACATGCCATTTTTGTAATTCGAAATACAATGTCATAATCAGTAACGTAGCTGATATTAAGAAAAACTGAAAATTACCTATGATTCCAGACTTTTTGGACACCCTCTATGTACAGTTTTTATTTGCCTTAACTATGTTAAAACATTATATTTGGAAAGACTGTGGACCTAAATATAAAGTCGCATATAATTTTTAGTTGCAATATAGCCTAGTCTTTTCATAAAATTGTCATGTGGGTGCACATTTAGTGAGTTTCATTGTTAATTAACAACCTGGTTTTGATTTATAGACATTTTAAATCTTTATTTTTTATTTATTCTACATACAACAAAAAATAGGGACCACCAATAAATTTTGCTTCATGTTTATTTGAGATAGGATCGTAGTTTTAAGTTTATTGCCTATAGAAAAATGGTATTCTTTTTTTATGAGTTAGAACTAATGTTGATAGATGGATTTTTTTATTTTTTTATAAATGTATTTATAACTTAGAAAAGACATTTAATTCTTGGAAAGGGTTCAGAGAAGGGTAACTAGAAGTAGAATGGTGCGTTGGATGTACCGGTTGTCATATGAGGAGAGGCTTAAATCTCTCAAATTGTTTTTTCTTGAAAAAAGAAGAGTTAGGGGGGATCTGATTGAGATGTTTAAGGTTGTAAAGGGAATTGATAGTGTTGATGTATATTTAACAGTGAGAATAGTAAGACTAGGGGACACAGATGTAAATTTTATTTTTAGCAAGGTAGGAGTTATCTTCAGCTAAGACAGTTTCATTTTCCTAACAGCATGGTTTGCCTTTGGAATGGGTTGCCTTCGGATGTTGTAGAGGCAGTAAATCTAAGTGAGTTTAAGAAAAAGCTTGATAAGTTTATGAATGATAAAGGCTGACTTTAAGGTTTTTTATTATTATTATTATTTTAGATGATGGAACAGCCGAGATTGATCAATAGGTCCCATGTTGTCCCAAAACGTTATGTTATGCTATAAAGTGAAGCTCACAGTTTTGTATTCCATGTGAGACTATTATGCAGAATGACACAATAAATTACAACTAAACACAACTGAGGGCCTTTTTTTTTATGACATTACAATGCTTAATTGAAACTTTTAGTGTCCTTATTAATTAAAGTCTGTGGTTCTTTGGTGTGATTGCACCAGGGCCAGTGTTAGGGGGAGGGAGGTGCTGAAGGGTCATGCACCCTTATATTTCACTCTGGCCCATCCAAGTTTATTCACCCTAGCAGTTTAAAAACTCGTCATTTTAGAAAAATTTTATCACTGTATGGTGACCCCCACAAAAGCTCTACTGCCTTCCTCATGGGAAAGAAGCTGGAGCCAAGCCTATATTGCACTATTTTCTGCCTTGCTTGATATGAAAGGGAACATTTCTTTGCAATATAAAATTACAATTTCATGTTACCCCATACCCTTGTGCATATGAAAAAATATAAATTTTAAGTTATTTTTAGTGACTATATAGAATCATTCATCCAAGTTATACGAGATTGTTTAATATTTTCTAAAAGTAGTTTTTATTCTATAGGCATTATTACCCAGGTTACAACCCTGACAGCCGGCTTTATGTGTAAGTTTACTGATTTATAAATTGGCATGAGAAAATAAACACCTGTTACTGTTACATTTAACTGTTTATTTCCTGTTGGCCATTAAACTGAATTGTATAATTGCATTCTCTGTGGCTCCTCTGTCTTGGGTATTATTGGCATGCCCAATATTTCATTCCATCCTTTCTGGTAACTCAATGTGCCAGTGGTGTTATGTGGTGTGAATTGTGTATAGAAAGAGGACAAAAATAATTTTTAAAAGCTTATTATGTTGATACACCTATAATATAAACATCAATATATCTTGCATTAGATTTAATTTTACAGAATTTTTCCTTTTAAGGAAGCTATTTCGTTTTGAGACTTTTTGCACTAGCATGATATAAAAAAATGAAGTTTTTTCCCCAAATCCATCTTGTGATAATGAGATATTCCTTCTGCATGGCATGTGCTTATTGTTTATAATTTTAAACACAATAATATTATCAATATGCATGATTCCATTTTATAAACTTTGTTGAAAGTTTGAAGTTATTTGTGGAATAACTAGTTTGTTATTGTTTTTAGAAGAAAATGTTTTATTGATTTCATGATTTATAGACTTGTTTACAACATGTTTATGAATTATACATTTATGTTCAACTATGAGAACGAAAATTTTGGAATCAGTTGCTATAATTTAACACCAGAATAGCCATTTTTAATTGTAACTTTAATACCATGAAGTGATGTTGTAAAGGGATATAATACCAGCATAAAAGCTTATGAGATTAATCATACATATTATAGTTCTTCCTACATTTGAGTTTCTAGTATCTCATTAGTTAAAACCCTTTCTTATGAATGTATATACATATAAAATTATATGTTTTAGAATACCAATTATTTGTAAAAGTTAAAACACAGAACATAGTAGCTGATGACAGTCACTCTACACATTCATAAGTAATAACTTCAATATACAGAGAAATGGGACTTGTGTTATAAACTTATTTTGGTAAGTAAAAGTAAGGTAAAATAAAACCTTTGTTACTTTTTAAGTGTTCCATTAGTGGTACAAAATACATTTATTCTAGTTTTTTTTTATATTAACATTAGTTATTTCTTACTATAATGTGTAACTCACATATATACCAGTCCTTCTTCATATTATCATTAGTTCTTTATTACTGTAATGTAAAACTCATTCAAAATTCACATAACCACACTTATGTAAAGAAATTAATGCCCACCTTGTTTCTTATGAAGATTTGTTAATTTCACTACAAATACAGTAATATCAATATAGTTTGTATATTACAGCTTTTTGCTATTTCTTTTTCCTTTTAAAGATGTTACTGTGATTTTTATACTTCAACTCGTATGTTATGCAAGCCTTCATTAAATTATTAAAGATGAACACTTGAGTTAGAAAAGATGCAGAAAGGTGAATCTAAAATCACAATACAGGTAACCCAAGATGAAACAGACATCATCATTCTTGCATTCCAAGCACAGTAATCTATTTTACCTTTGATTATTTTTGTTGAATGATTTCTACTCAAAAAATATATTGTTGCATGTCATTAAAATTTGTGATTAAAATTTATTGATAATGTAAAACATTATACATGTATGTGCACATAAAATGTATGGAAAATACACTTGTATTTGTGTATCTGTTATTAATTACTGTCAAATTTCAACTAATCCCAACATATTCCAACATTTCAGTCAAGAGGTAGCACCACAAGGGATTCCATACTATCAAACTCCACCAGCAAATGGCCATCATGGAGAAGAAAGTACTTTAACTCCATCACAGGTTGGCTAATTAGATCATAATTTAAACCAATGAGTCTGTAACTGATGGTTACAAAAAGACTTCAAACAAAAATTTAAAAAAAGAAGGTATCCATAAAGTATGCAACTTCAGTTCATAATATGTAAAGCCAATACAAAACAAATGAAAAATTAACTTCATTGATAAAATACAAATTAACTAACTTCTTGTTCAGTGTAGGCCTTTAAGACTTTCAAATATTGTCACATGGTGTTGTGACTATGCTGAGAATATCCAAACTGCGATTATATGTGGAATCCATAAGTCTCTGTTGCCAGTGTTGGTCTACCATGTTTGTTCATAATGCATCTGGTAATAGTGGATTTAAAGTAGAATACAAGAAAAAGACAAGCCATGTTGAATATATGCTCTTCAACACTATAAAAAAGTATTTATTGAGTATATTTTGTTTATAAAAAAGGTGATAAACATAATTGGAGACTCATGAACAGCTTCAAGCATATTGTTTGTACTGTTTTGTTTTGAAGCTTAATTAGGGGTATTCTTAACATTGACTTCAATGGGCTGATGAAAACGTAATTTAAATGTAATATGTTTCATATCATAGTATTACGTATTTGTTTCACTGATTCTTCCAATCATACATGTTTTTATATACTGTTTATCACTTTCTGCAGCATTCCTATACTATAAACCTAACAAAATCATTAACATAAAATTATATTTGGAGTAGATTTACCATATACCTTGTTTCTGTCATAACACGTACACTTTAGAATACATGTATGCCAGTGTTAATGAAACATCACAATTGAAGCTTCATAATATTAGCATTTACTTGAGTTGTTTATAACTTACTGCATTCATCTTCACTTTGGTAGACCCTTATAATGCACATGATGCAATAACCAACTCTGTAACATTGAATACTGTTTGTTTTCAATAAGAGCAACATTTCAGATGTTCCCGAGATGATTGACAAGGCTTGGAATAATGTTGCTTCCAATCTGATACATGCAGCTTCTGCTCTTTCACCTGGACTAAAGTGATATGTGTTTTGAAGATGTGTATATTGCTAAACAGAGGATTCTTCATTTATGCAAGTTTTTGTGCTTAAATATTTATAAGTGTGATTATATTTATACAAGCAATTCAAATTTTTAGTAGCCTATGGTTTCAGGCATTTTTTTTAAAATTATACTTACTTTTTTGTATGATTAGATAATGAAAATTCTTTAAAGTTTTTGTTGAATGAATGTAGGCCAGACTTTAATATGCTAAATCATCTCGATGATTTTTAAAGCTTTTTTATTTTATTGTAGATAAAAGCAACCCCTGGAAATAAAGTTATTGGTAATCATCCTGTTAGACACCTTGGTGCAGAATCACAGTCCATTGGCTATTCACAGTATAACAGTGGGCATGAACCACACCCACGTTCAGAGTATATTACATATACCTATAACACTCCAGGTGATGGGCCTCAACATTACCAGCCATATGATGCCAGTAGGTATATTTTCTATTATCTCACCAAACAAGGCAGCACAATGAACAGATGGAGCATTGTATATGTTTGTTTTTTGTTATAAAAAATTCAGTTATTTGGTAAATGAAAAGTAACTAAAGTGTACAGTAAATTATCTGTATCATCATTGTAAAAGTCAGCTCTTCCATGTTCCTGCTTGTATTAATATTTTTGCAACAAACTTCAATGTGTCTGATGCACATTATAATTGTCTTGCAGGCATTTTATTGTATAATATTGGCATATTAAAGTAATTGCAGCATTAACATATCTGACACTTTATTCAAAAAATAATGCATTTAACAACAAAAGTAACAACACAGAAACCTAACACCAAAATATTTTGATTTATATGTGCATATAAATATATTTGCAAAGTATGATTGCTGTATGTGTTACATGAAAAATGTTAATTTGTTAGTTTTCAATACGTGATGATGGATTTGTTTTAAGTACAAGCACATAATAAGATACTTTTTGAACGAAATTTAGATCTTGTTAAAGATCACAAGTTTATAAATGTCATGTTTGATGAACAGGACAACTTACAAGTCCTGGTAGTCAGATACCAACAGGAGGTTATCACCCTGGTTTTGGGTCATATGATAGTGCACCATCTCCAGGACCTGCCAGGAGCCAGGAAGCTTACCTTCTACCTGGTGGTCAAGGATATCCAGAATATGGTTATCAAGACTTACCTGTACAACCTCCCTCACCTCCTTCAGGAGCATCAGAGTCTCCTCCTCCTCGCCGAGCCATGCCCCAGAACCTTCACCCTGCTCAACTAGAATACAGCCACAGACCTTCAGGCTATAATGATCTTAGTAGCTCAACATTAGCTCCACCTAGAGGAGGAGGATATCAGGACAGATATGGTAGAACTCCATCACCAGCTCCACCTGCAGGAGAAAGATTTGGTAAATCAAATTTCCTTAACTCAGAAAGTAATTGATTTTATATTATATTTGAGATGTATGTTTGAAAGAAGTATTTTAAACACATTAATTGAAAAAAAAATGTGTGAATTTGATACATTAATTAACTTCCAGTTAGTAGTTAAAAATATCTGGCAAAAAACTAGAGTTAAAAATATTAATTTATCCACACCTTCAAAATAATGTAGTGGTGACTAAAGCTCATCTTCTTATGGAATCACATGTACTTACAAACTTTTAATATGTTTATAAAACTGCTTCAAAAATTCAGTTCTTTAAGTTCTAGAAATGTGCTTTTAAAGGACAAATATATCCTGAACTTGAAAGTTTTTCAATATGAGGAAAATTACAATTGTTTGTCCTAAATTTATAAACATTTTAGTGTTGAAGCAAAAAGTATAATGTTTAAACAATGAATTATATTCACTATTACATACACACTTTATGTTTAATTCTTTTTAGAAAATATTGAAAATGCTGTTTAAAGATACAGTAGAACAACCTCGATTAATGAGTGCCTCAAAACAATGGGCACCATGCCATTAAGGGAAGAACTTTTTAGTCTCTCTTTTTTTTCTACAATTTGTATTTAAAATAAATCTTGCAATAATGGGCACCTCAATATTCGTGTTCTCTATATAGGCACTCATTAAAGTGGGCAATTATCTTTGTATGTCTGTACAGTATACTGCTAAATTCTAAATATCCCACCAGAAGGATGACCAATATTCAAACACTCGTGATGTTTTATTAGATTGGCTCCAAACCAAATACTGTAATAAACGTTTTCACAGATTCAAAGTGCAGTCTTATTACTCTGGGGAATTCTCATTGTAAACACTGGAGGATACATAAGCTGATAAATTCAACATCATGTTCTTGGAGCAGAGGTTAAGTTGGCTTATTTCTGTGTGCTGTGCTTTGTTGCTCTTGAGAGTATCATATTACAGTGTCACATTAACAGTCTAGTGACACAAATAGTAATTTGTTGAATTATTTTCAGTAAATTTCTACTTCAGTCCTTGACAGTTAAATAAACACTTTGAAACTTTGTGGCCAATAATAAAGAAAAAAGGGCATAGCTAATCCACCCCCTGAGACCTCCTGTTGACAATGCTTCAGGTCATGGCAACATACATCTTACAAACACCTGTGTCCTGTATACACCAAACAAAATGGGAGGGGCCTTAAAATTTAGAAAGTTAATATGGTCAGTATGGAATTCAGCTTTACACGACTCATTTTTGATATTGAACCTTGCTATGGAGGTCATTTGGATGCAGTCAAAAGGGTGCCCTTAATGTTGAGGTTCTACTGTACATGATATAAGACTCAGCTACAACTGATTGTTTGTATTTGCTGTGCTTGAAATAATATTATGAAGTGTACTTTTGCTATTTCTAACAAAGTAGATTTGTTCTGTTTTATGCTATGGTTATTATTAGTTAAGTTTATTTGAGATCAGAAATCATTATACTAGTTATTATGCTTTTAACTGAGAGAGTAGTGAGCTATATAAGTCTTGTTCATTATCTAGCATGCTTTTTCATGATGTGTTTAGCTACGCATTTATTTATGTTAAAATTAATTGCTATTTATATGTCATTTCCTCAGGTCCCTATGGATACTCAGGAGCTCACTTACCTCCTACTTCACCTGGTTACAGCTCATATGAGACTGCTCCTCCACCACAGGGGTATTTGGACAGGAGACCTAGCTATGATGACCGACCTCCATCACAAGGTACACCCACCCACCTGCCACGTTTGTACTCTCCAGTACCAAGGACTGTGTTCCAAGAGGAAGAAGATAAAGGACTTCCACCTGAAGCACAAAATCCACCTCCTCCTCCACGTCAGCCTCCTTTAGAGTATGAAACTGAAGGTAAACTAATGGTTAACACTATCATTTTCATAATATAAAATTAATATATTTTTATTATCTCTGTGTATTGTAAGTTTAGCACAGTTTGTTATTTTTCAGTTTTAAAGTATAATGTATATTATTATAGAACTTGATAAAACATACATCTGGTAAGTGTAAAAGTAAATATAAGTGCTGTACCAGTATATTTCTTCAAGTATGTATCTATTCAACTTTACTCACTGCTTTTACAAGAAATTTTTTATGTACTTATTTTATAAACAGATGTACGGTGGAGAGATCCAGATCTTCATGAAGTTATAGAATTTTTGAGTCATCCAAATAATGTGATACGAGCAAATGCTGCAGGTTACCTTCAACACTTATGTTATAATGATGATCACATGAAACAGAAAACTAGGTAAATACACTACATTTTTCTGTTTCGTTTTTCTAATTTAAAAATATTTCTGTGAGCAAGGAAAACAAGTAAATGTATCCCTCTAATTAAAAATTGGAATAAAGAAAGATAAATTATTCTATATGTTTTATTGTAATAAGTTACCCACAGGCTCACAAAGTTTATTGTTGTGCTCTAGAACTATTTTTAGCTTTAGTTTATACCATGAGCATGTTTTTCACACTGACGTTTAATTTTTTGAAATAACAATAACCATTTGCAGATTTCTGGTTCTCACAAAAACTGTATAAGTTTCATGCTATTCTTATTATTCAGTGAGAAAAATATGTACATAGTAATAATACTTGTACTACTTCATAGGGCCTTAGGTGGCATGCCACCATTGATAGAATTGCTCAACCAGGACATCCCTGAAATCCAAAGGAATGCGAGTGGTGCACTTCGTAATCTATCCTATGGTAGACAAAATGATGAAAATAAGGTGGGGACAGTAATTTAATGATACTTGCCATTCTTACTTAGGTAATGTGTTAGTGATTTTGAAATGAAATTTAATTAGTTAGTGTTTGTTTTTTTTAGAAAAAAGGATCCTTGGCATTAATTTTGGTGTTTTCAGTGACAATATTCCTGTGTTTAAATAGTTACTATGTTTTTTAGAAGATAAGCTAACATCAAGCTAAGAAATATTGTGTCAATGAATATGAAATAATAATCTAATGATCCCCTGGTGGGACAGTAGCACGTTTATGGACTTACAGTGCTAAAATCTGGAGTTCAATTTCCTGCAATGGACACAGTAGATAGACCAATGTGGCTCTGCTCTAAAATAAACAAACTAATGAAAACTGTACATATATTGCATTACTTTTCATATGCTTTTAAGAATAATAATTATAACCTTTTACAAAAACATTTTTGGATGATAATGGATATTAATGTCATTTATAGCTGTCATTCATTTTTAACTGTAGTAAAATTTATATTTTTTGAGAAAAACATCTATTATCCAAATATATTATCTCCACAAAAAAGATTTTAAAAAATTTCCAGTTATTATGATTAAAGTTTTAAGTAAAACCAAATTAAAGAGCACAAATGTTTACTGTTTTATTTAATACCTTCTGAACATAATGCACATTCATGAAAAATAATTAAGAGAAAATCTGGATATTCAAATTGTAACTAAAAGGATTTACTTTTCAGAGAGCTATAAAAAATGCTGGTGGTATTCCAGCACTAGTAAGATTACTCCGAAAGACACCAGATAATGAAATCAAGGAATTAGTAACAGGGATCTTATGGAATTTGTCATCTTCAGAGGTACATTTATCATGATCTGCTTTCCTTGTATTAAATTATTCATATAAATAAATGATTTATTGTTACAGCAGTGAAAATTATTCTATTAAATATTTAAGCGATAGAATGATATCATCATAAATTTCTTTTTGTTACTCGCTATGCTAATTTTATATTTTCTATTATTTATTTGATTCCTAATATCTAGCTGGTTTTTGAATGCTTACATTGTGGTTAGTTTTTTATATTTGTTACATACTGAGTGTTTATGTTGCTACTTTTGCTGCTTGAGTTAGCTATGAGTCTTTGTAATTGCAGCATCGACATGCAATTCTCCAGAGAATAATTTCCTCTGCGCAAAAAAAAAAGCTATCTTCTCCACATGTATGCCTATGATATTTGAATGCCATTAGCCTTGAGGCAACTTCCATTTAATTCATGCACTTTAACTTGAACTGTGCTGGTGCATAATGACGTCATAATGCAAAAAAGCCCTCGACCAATAGGCGGGCAACACCTCTTCCTTGAGCAGTAACTCCCCTTGAGCCCTTGTATACAAGATAACTTGATTCTTCTCCTCGGGATTGTATTGAACAGACATCTTTAATTTTTTCATTTAAGTTCAATTTGTTGAGATTTGCATTGTTAACAAAACTTCAATTTTTGTTTTCTTTGTTTTGGTTTCAAAAGTTTTAATTTTTATCATAAATTCTCAAATGACAGTGACTTATACTTAGCCCTGTGTGAGTGATGGTATTCACACACAGGCCCGATTTCTGCTATGGCTTCTGGAGGCTTCTTAAATGTCGGGGATGTTGCATTCATTGTTCAATGATTTGTGGATTACCACATGCATATGGGGCTTCCTACTCCCATCCCATTGGCCAGCCCCCCCCCCCCCCCACGTGGCACAGCAGTATGTCTGTGGACTTCTACTGCTAGAAACCAGGTTTAAATACCTGTGGTGGTCAGAGCACAAATACCCCTTTGTGTTGCTTTGTGCTTAATAAGAAAAAACAACTCATTGGCCAAAATTCTTTCTCTTCAGTCAGTAGTGACCTATTGGACTACAACTTTAACATAACTTGCTTTGGGTAGTACCCTACCATTTGGGAAATGACCATAACCTTCCAATCTCTTTCTGGATTTCATTCTCATATGTTCATTTTCTTATCTTTTGCCTATGTCCTTTTTATTTCTTGTTTTTTACTACATGATCCACAATTCTTAGTGTTTACCTTGTCTTTCCTCCTTGTTTATTAATAGTATTTATACTGTTTCCTTTCTCTAATCACTCCACACTCAAATGCCTCATCCTCCTTCTGTACATGATTCTTTTTGTCCTGATTTGTAAACTTTCTTCTTTTCCTTTTCTTGATTCCCTGTTTCTTGGTATCAATTTAGCCAGTTTTGGGATCAAACTCCTTACCTCCTATTTTGCTCTCTGTTTCTCAATTTTTGCATTTTTCTCACTACCTTCCTGAATTTTCCTTTCCTACTTCCACCTGTTGACTGAGGCACTTCATTGTAATTCAGATAGATTTTCTATAGATGTTTGTTCCCTTCTCTTTTCCAGCTTAGTCTGTTCCACTTTTTCTGCTCTATCTTTCTTTACTTTGTTATCCTAGTGTTGGGACTTGTTGGGTCAGGTTACATTCCATTTTACTATATTCTTTCTGCCTTCTTGTGCACATGGTATTCACTGGGTTCCCATTTTTTGCTAAGATGTCTTCAGTTGTGTTCATTTCTCCCTAGTGACCTGGACTGACATAATATGATTTCAGTTCTTGTTATATTCCCAGGATTTTATTCTTTCTCGACCTTTCCCTTTACTCCTGTTCCTCATCTGGATCAGTCTACCTCTAACTTTCCTATTCTGTATTCCAGGGCTTTCTCTTTTTCTTGTCCTTCTTCTATCTGACGTATATGGTCCTGTGGGTATCCATTTATTTTACTGCTGTTGGTGCCACTATCTGCTGATTGTCATTTTTCATCTCTCCACCTAGGTCTCTCTCTTCGCTTCTCTTCTCATTTCCTTATCTTCTTCTCCCAACCATTCTGTGATATTTTTCATTCAGTCTGCAGTTGGCCATGATTGATGTATTGGACACCTTCCTACACATCATCCTTGAACTGTTCTATGTATGTTTTCTACATTCTGCCCTCCAATTTTGCATTTTCCCATTCCTTGCTCTTCCCTTTGACATAGCATCAGCCCCTATTGTATTCATTGGTATCACGAGAGCCTTCACTTGCCATATTCACATCCATGGGCTGGCATTCCCTTTTTTGAACAATTGACTTCTATTGGTTTTTTTTCTTACAACTCCCTTCTTTTAAAGGAGGCTTTTTGGTTGTGAAGGCTTGTCATGAGATCTAACTTCTTTCTCATACCCACTCACTATTTAGTACTTTTGGGTGTGTCATGTATCTCTTGTCTTAGCTGAGTTCAGCCTTCTCCTCTTCACATACTCTTTCCTGGAAGCTAAGAACTTGGTGGCAGGTTGCTTCTCTTGACCAATCTGCATTCTACCAATGTAGTGGTCTCTACATCCCCCCCCCCATGTCTTTCATTGAGTTTGATCTTGGTTGGGCACACATTTCATAGGTTTCTTTGCCACCCTTCTCAACTATGGTCTTCCTCTCTTCTGGTCCCCTATTCCACATCCTTTCACTCTGGCTGATGATGCTCACAACCAGGCCTGGTCTAACCTTTTTCTATATACCTATTCCCTTATTTGTCTCTTCCCTTGGATTCTCGCTTTTACACATGACTCTCTCCTTGTTGGGTCCTATTGTTGGTGCCTCTTTGTCTAGCTCAGCCTTTGTCTGTTTGGCATTCAGATCCCTCTTCCTCTCTCTTGGTTCACTTTTATTTATCCTTTTTTCATTGAGAGATATCTTCCCTCCATCTTCACATACGAAATCTGCCTGTCAGACCAGACTTTTTTGTTTGTGTGGCATTCTTCTTGTCACATTCCTGTCACCCTTTCACTGTGTTTGTCTATCAACGATAGTGATGGCTCTTCTCATCTTCTACTCTTACTGGTTGAGTCCATTAACTCCTCCACTTGGTATGTTCGTTTCTGGATGTAGATGCTTGCAGGCTAATTCAAATTTCTTTGCATATGATTTATCACCTTTCTCATTCTCTTGCACCTCATCTTCATCAGCCCTAGGATGGAATCCTCTAGGCAAGCATACAGACAACTCTCTAGACATTCATCTCTCTCTATCTATACCACCCAGCTATTGAGTTTTCTAATTTATTTTGACTTCCACTGATCACCATTCTTCCATCACCCCCCCCCCCCCCCCCATCTTTGAGAAGAATACATACAATTTCTTTTTCAGAACCCCTTTTTAACTTGATAGGATCCTGCCAGGTGGCTGATGTTGCCTCCAATGGTATACTCCATCCAATGCTCACACCATCCACCCTGGCTCTACCAGTTCCTACTGTTGAGAATGAGTGTTCCACAAGACCACTTGAGGTATCCATGTCATATATAATTTACTCAATTGTCCAATCCAAACCATACCTCTTCCATAAACTATCACGGAAAAAGCCAGCACCAAGGAAGTGTTCTGCCCACTTCTTTGGCTTTCCCTTGCTAGCTTATAAAAATAGGATTTCATGGTCACCTATTATACTGTCCATGCACTTCTCCAAGTCTTCAGAATGTGAATCTCCCCCTTCTTCCCGTAGAGCACAGGAGACCCTTTCCACTTACCAGTTCCTAGCTGCTGGAGTGGTGGACCATGGAGAATCCTCACTGGTTGGATATAGCACAGTACAGTGAGAAGTGGAGCAGTTGTGGCACAGTTAGTGTAGTGCAGATCTCCCCTGAAAACATACTGCATAACTAAATATCTTCTTCCTGTAGCTAGAAGCTGTTCAGTGGAGTTGAGGTGAGCACACACTGTACAAAACCATAATATATAACTAATGTGTCATACTTCTGCAGCCAGAGCCTGTTAAGTTGAGTAGAGGTGAACACATAGTGTTCAGAAAAAAATAAATTATGACTTGTGATTTCCTCTTGCTACCAGAGTCTGTTCAGTAGAGTTGACATGAACACACACCATACAAAACCATAATGCATGGTTAAAGTGTCCTCCTCATGCAGCTGGAATCTGTCCTGTAGAGTCTGTTCATTAGAACCAAGGTGAGCATATAAAGTACAGTTTGAATGAGCCCTAACTACAGTACACATATTGAATTGCCAACCATTTGTGTTCAAGTGATTGGATGGTCATGTTTTCATTCCACCCATACCTGCAACACATGGAACTAATTTGCCTCCCCCCTTACATTCTGGGCAAAGAGTATACCCTTCTCAAGACAAGATGTGGTCTCCCACAGATATGTCTGTACGGAGCCCCTACCACTGGGTTTCACACTTCATGGGCTTCCCTTTGATTGCTTTCTGAAGGGAGCTCACCTGAAATATACACCTGGAAAAAAGTTAAGCACCCCCAAATATTTTTCAGGATTGCTTATTGAAAATAAGGTTTAATTTTCATGATGTTGAGCAATGTTCATAATTTCAAACATAATTAAAAGGATGTGAGCATTCAGGTGTGACATTTAAATCAGGCGCGTTTTTTT